TTGCACACATACATGATTATTGTGCTGTATGAGTTTCTTACATTTTGGGCTATTAGCACCTTATAAGACATGAGATTTACAAAAATTTTCTCACATTCTGTAGGTAACCTTTTCATTAAGTCTCAGCGCTATTCAGCTGTCTCCAGCCACTGCAGCATGATTTCGATCCCCGGCCAGGGCACTAACCCACATGACGCAGCAGACCTCTCCTGTCCACCAGCTGCTCCTCTCAGCAGTGTATTTCAGTCAGTCTGCCTGTTCTGTTCCCCACCCCCACACCTCTGGCCTACACCCCAGTTCTTGTATAAATAAATAAAATAAATCTTTAAAAAAAAAGAAGAAACTTTCACCTGTGTTTTCTTATAGGAGTTTTGGTTTCAAGTTTTATGTTTAAGTTTAAATGTATTTTGAGTTAATTTTTGTGAGTGGTTTAGGACAGAGATCCAAATTCATTTTCCTGCCTGTGATTATCCTGTTTACCTACCACATTTTTTAAAAAGACTATCTTTTTCCCACTTGAGTATTCTTGGCTTCCTTGTCAAATATTAGTTGACCAAGTACGCTTGACCTTATTTCTGGGCTCCTGACACTATTCCACTGGCCTATACATATATTTTTATGCCAATACCATACTTTTTGATCACTGCATCTTTTTAGTAGTTTTAAATCATGATGTGTAATGCCTCCAGTTTTGTTCTTCTTTCTTAGGGTTGCCTTGACTATTTGGGATGTTGGTTCCATACAAGTTTTAGGATTATTCTATTTCTGTGAAAAATGCCATTGGAAATTTGATAAGGATTTCACTGTATTTATAAGTGGCTTTAGTACTTAGTATGGAAGTTTTAATAATATTAATTTTTCCAATCTATGAATATGGAATTTCTTTTTTTTTTAAGATTATTTATGCATACAAGAGCTGGGGTACAGGCCAGAGGTGTGGGGAGGGTGGTGGGAGGACTCACTAGAGACAGAATGGGGAGCAGAACAGGCGGACTGACTGAAACACATTACTGAGGGGAGCAGCGGGCCAGACAGGAGAGGTCTGCTGGGCCATGTGGGTTGCTCCCTGGCTGGTCGGGGATCGAACTCATGCTGCAGAGGCTGCGGATTGCTTCATAGTGCAGTGCTTTACCCTATGCACCACCAGGGAGGCCCAGAATATCTTTTCATTAATTTGTGACTTCTTCAACTTCTATCATCAAAATCCTTACAGCTTTTAGTGTACAGACCTCTTATCTATTTGGTTAAATTTGTTCCTATTTTGTTGATTTTGATACAATTGGGATTGTTTTTATTTCTTTTTCAGATAGTTCATTACTTGGTGTGTTGAAATGTGACTGATTTCTGTGTGTGCTTTTGTATCCTGTAATTTTACTGAATTCATTGATTATTTCTAACAGTTATTTTGGGTGTAGTCTTTAGCATTTCCTATGTATAAGATCATACCATCTGCAAATGAAGAAAACTTTATTCTTCTTTTCTCATTTGGGTTTTCTTTCCTTCTCTTGCCTGAGTGTTCTGGCTAGGATTTCCAATACTGTGCTGATAGGAGTGCTAAGAGTGGGCATTCAACTTTTTTTTGTTTTTTGTTTTAAAGATTTATTTATTTATGCAAGCCCTGGGGACAGTAAGAAGCGTGGAGGGTGAAAAAATTCACCAGAGCCAGAGTGGAAAGCAGAACAGGCAGACTGCCAAATTACACTGCTGAGGGGAGCAGCGGGTGGCAGCAGAGGTCTGTGCCATGTGGGACCCTCACCGGTCGATCAAACCGGCGCTGCAGTGGCTGCGGGCAGCTTCACAACCCAGCGCTCAACCGCTGTGCTATCAGGGAGGCGCAGCATTCAACTCTTGATGCAGACCTTACAAGAAAAGTTTTTAACCTTTCACCAATGGGTATGATATTAGGGTGGGCTTGTCATATATGGCCTTTATTAAATGGAGATACGTTTTCTTTATATTCAATTTGTTGAGAGTTTTTATCAGGGAAGGATGTTGCATTTTGGCAAATGCTTTCACTGCATCTATTAAGATGAGCGTTCAATTTTAATCTTTCATTGTATTAATGTGGCTGTTATTGCATTTATTGATTTATATTTAATAGTCTTTGCATCCCAGGTATAAATCCCACTTGACTATTATTTATGATCCTTTTAATGTAATGCCATATTCAGTTTGCTAGAATTTTGTTGACAACTTTTGCATCTATATTCATCAGTGATATTGGAGTGTAGTTTTCTTTTTTTGTAGTGTCTTTATCTGGCTTTGGTCTCAGGGTAATACTGATAAAATGAATTCAGGTGTTTCTTACTCTTCAGTTTTTTGGAAGAACATGAGAAGGATTGCTATTGTTCTTTCTATTAAATGTTTGGTAGATTTCATCAATGAAACCATCTGATCTTGAGCTTTTCTTTGTCAGGTTTTTTATTACTGATTCAGTCTTCTTATTCATTATTGCTCTCTTCAAATTTTCTATTTCTTCCTGATTCCACTTGATAGGCTGCATGTTTCTATGGAAATTATACATTTTTTCTTGATTATCCAATTTGTTGGTGTACAGCTATTCATAGAACTTTCTTATCATCCTTTGCATTTCTGTGGTAGCAGTTATAAATCCTCTTTCATTTCACATTTTATTTATTTCAATCGTCTCTTTTTCTTAGCTAGTCCAGCTAAAAATGTGTCAACTTTGTTTATCTTCAGAAAAAAGCCCACATCTTAGTTTCCTTCACCTTTCTATTGCTTTTCTAGTCTTTCATTCTTTGTGCTGTGTCCATTGTTATTGTATTATATTTTGATGTATGAAAAGGCAGAAATTGGGCCTCCCTGGTGGCACAAGGATTAAGACGTAACCTATAAAGTAATCTGCAGCCACTGCAGCACGAGTTGGATTCCTGGCCAGCCAGGGAGAAACCCACATGGTGCAGCAGACCTCTCTGGAATGGCCCGCTGCTCCCCTCAGCAGTGTATTTCAATCTGCCTGTTCTGTTCCCCCTTCTGTCTCTGGTGAATCCTCTCACCTCCCTCTGGCCTGCACCCCAGCTCTTGTATGCATAAATAAATAAATCTTTTAAAAAAAAAAGCCAGAAATTTGTTAATCAAATATTTAAGGTAAGCCTCAATTTTGGAGACTTGTTTTATGATTTCTCTATAGCAGGTTTTGTCATGCCTCTGTAGGCTGCCCCTCTCCTGGTCCTTTGACTAGAGTAGGTTTTTTTTTTTTTTTAAAGATTTATTTATTTATGCATACAAGAACTGGGGTATAGGCCAGAGGTGTGGGGGTGAGAGGATTCACCAGAGACAGAGCAGGGAACAGAACAGGCAGACTGACTGAAACACACTGCTGAGGGGAGCAGCGGGCGGGACAGGAGAGGTCTGCTGCGCCATGTGGGTTTCTCCCTGGCTGGCCCGGGGATCGAACTCCTGTTGCAGAGGCTGTGGATTGCTCCATAGTGCGGTGCTTAACCCCTTGCGCCACCAGGGAGGCCCATCGTCCAGAGTTTTTAGTTGTACTTAGTTGGAGAATTAGGAAAAAGTACATTTACTCCATCTTTATTCTGCTCTTTTAAAACTTTGTATAAAAATCTTCCTATTTCTGAGTTTTGGCACCCCCTTAAACTCTGCACCCCAGATAACTGCTTCCCTCACCTTGCCCTGGTTCCAGTACTGTTTGGAAATCACCTCAGAGACTGAGACCCTTAAAAAAAAGGTCCATCCATAATAAGGCAACAGAAGAAAATAACACTAAGACAAAACATATATTTTATATTAGATTTTATATTTTACATTATCTATTATATTTTACATAATAGATTTAAATATACCAGACTGACATGAAACCTGATAGATCGGAGCACTTCAATATTGAAAAGGAATAGAGTGGGACCCTCTGAGAGATCAAGGAGGGCCCAGGGAGCTCCACGTTTGCAACAAAAAAATTAAAAATAAAAGCAACAGTGCTTGGCTCCTAACGGACTCCTTGACAGTAACACTCCAGAGTTTCTCCAGCTTCCAGGAGCGTGGCCGCTTCCACACCTGCATGCACCCTCCCCCCCCCCCCCCCCCGTTCCACATCACGGTTCTGCACGGAGCGGCCGGAGCCGAACTTGAACCCTCAAGACGGAGCAGCCTCTGGGCACCACGAGGCAGGAAAGAAATCCCGGGGTGTGAGCGCTCAGGCTGCGCGGGCGCCCGGCCTCTTCCCGCGCGGCGGGCCGGGGCGCAGAGCCGCAGGGCGGCGTCCCGTGCCAGCGAGCGTCCCCGGGCCCCGCAGAGACGCGCGGCGGGCGAGCACCGGGGGGCGGGCACCCGGGAGGCCGATCCCCGGCGGCCGGGACGTGCTCGCGCCCGTGGCCGCCGCAGTCCGCGCCCGGCCTCTCGGGCTCGCCGCGGGGCACGTGCGCCGGCGACCCGGGCGGCGGCGGCTCGGAGCGCGCGCGGGGAGATGGCGGGCGCGGCGCCTCGCAGGGGCAGGGAGCGGCGCGGGGCGGGCGCCGGCCCGGCGCGGGGCGGCGGGAGCGGCGAGGCGGCGCGGGCCGGCGCGGGGCGAGGGCGGCTCCCGCGCTAGGTGAGGCGGGCCGCGGCGGGCAGGCGGGGGGCGGGCCGGGGCGGGGCCGCGCGCGCGGATTAAAGCCGCGCGGGAACGGGCTCCGGCTTATTCTGCGGCCGGGGCCGGCGGCGCTCGCGCCCGTAGACGAGCGCGGGTCGCCGGAAGGCGGGAGGGCGGGGCTGTGGGGTGCCCCGACCCCCGCGCGGCCGGCCGCGACCGGGCCCCCCCCCCACCGCAGCGCCGCTCCACTTCCTCCTCTCAGCGCGCGGCCTCGCCTGGGCGAGCGCCCGGCCCGCGGGCGGCTCCTCCCCGCGCTGGGAGGGGGCGGCTGGGGGCGTGGCCCGTCGTCGCCGTCGCGGTCGGCGCTCTCTCGGCGTCCGCGTCAGCCGGGGCCGACGCCGTGACGCAGCACGTCGACGTGAGTGACGCGCAGGCCCGGGCCGCTCCTCCTTCCCTGAGTGAGTGCCGGCCCGGTCGGGGCGGGGGAGAAGAGGGAGGGGGCCGGAGAGAGGCGACCCAGGAGTCGTTGTGGGCCGCGGGCCGCGGGCCGGACCGGGTCCCGGGGCGGCGGGCGCCCGGGCCGGGCGGAAGGGCTTGGCGGGCCGTTAGAGGGCCGCCGCGACGGTCGGGTCCCCGCTCCTGCCGGACTTACGCGCCCGGCGCCGGGAGCCTCCGGCGCGGTGCCCTCCCGCTCCAGCTCGCGTCTCCCGACTCCAATTAGGTCAGGCTCGGACGGCCCCGGCCGCGGCCCCGGCCCCCGGCGCGCGTCGGCCACCCGGCTCGCCTTTCTTTCTTCCCCCGTCTTCCTCTGCTCTTCCTCACCCTCCCCCCTTCTTTTCACGTTGCTGAGGCTCGGGGTTTTGTTGTTGTTGTTTTCTGCTTTCGGGGTTTTGTTCCCTAGCACGGGCTCATGGATGTCCATTATCGTGCTCCTCTTTTGTAGAGCAACCCGACGGCCATGGAGGCCGAGGAGACGATGGAATGCCTTCAGGAGTTCCCTGAACATCACAAGATGATCCTGGACCGATTGAATGAACAGCGAGAGCAGGACCGCTTTACTGACATCACCCTGATTGTCGACGGTGGGTAGCGTGGTGGGTGAATTTGTGGCTTCAGTTCTCAGCTCCCCTGCCGCCACCCCCCTTTTCCACCGCCTTATGGGTGCTTGGAAAAGTCTGTGAGGATGGTGCGCCGAGACCCGTGGGCACTTTGTCAGGGCCCGCTCGCGTAAAGCAGACCGCAGGAGGCTGGTGTCACCCTTTTAACAATAGTCATCACAGTTAACTTCTTGCAGCCTCTTGAAGTTTTCTCTTTACATACTTGAGTAAAAGGTGATGTTTTAGCGATTGGGAGGAGTTTTCTAAATATTTGGTTAATAGCCTTTTCTGGTGATCAGGTGCTTTGAGTAATCTCTCACCGGCGTCTTTTTTGGGTGATGATTCTAGTTTCCCAGATGGTGTTGGAGGGAGAATGTGAGAGACTCCTTTGCAGCACTGGTAACCCCTTTGGGAGTCTCCAAATAAAATGGGGTCCTTGCCATTTTGGATACCCAGCTGGGTTATCATTTTCAGTTAAAATAGGTTTCTCAAGACAAGCTTTTTTTTTTTTTTTTTCTTCCTCTCCAAATCTGCTGTAGTTTCCAAGTACTAGGTATACTAGAAAACTTTCCATAAGAAGCATCCAGCTTCCTGCTTGTCCTGTGACTTTTCCTTCTCTCTTCCAAATGATGTGTAACCTCTTGGGTTGTGTCTGTATTTATCAGTTTCAGTTGAATAGATTACGCCTTTCACTTTTTAATAGGAGGCTTCTTGCTTCCGGAAGTGTTGTAAATTGACTTTTATAAAATTGACTTAGTAAAGTCTTGGAGGTAATGGCTTGTTTAATGGAGATTAAAGTTTGACAAGAGAGCTGCAAGAATATTCTAACTTTAGTTCAGTAATCTATACAGGCTTATAATGATGAAGAAATCTGGTCTGTAGGGGAGGGATAAGCAGAAGGGACTGTGGTTGATGGTTCACAGGTGATGTGATAGTGGGAGATTTGTGGGGATTACACCTGCGGGGAGAAATCAAATATTGTACAAAAATGAACAATGTAAGAAAATAAAAAAAATTTTAAAAGGATGTTTTTAATGTTTTAATTTTCTAGTCTGCCTTACAGTTTTACATTTGGTTTTTGTGAGTATACATGATTTTATTTTTTATCTAGGACACCATTTTAAGGCCCACAAAGCTGTATTGGCTGCTTGCAGTAAGTTCTTCTACACATTCTTCCAGGAGTTTACTCAGGAACCTTTTGTGGAGATAGAAGGTAAATATTTGTTTTAAATGCAGTATTTAGTGAACATAATTGATGAAGTTTTAGACAGTTAATTTGCATCAGTGGTTCCTATTAGGTGCCAATATAAATTGTTCTTTTGACACCTGACAGTTACTTTGAGTAGACTGCTTGGTAAAACTATCCGCCAGGAAAAACTCAAGTTCGATGGTAGATGTTGGTCTCTTAAAGGAATCTTTTCTATGGCTAAAGTCAGTGGTCACTGTCTTTTGAAAACATGTACTACAAGTGAATTCATGTTTTTATTCAGTACGTTTTTCAGACTGGTGGGGATGCAGGTTACAGTAGAACCTGTGTAGCAAAAGTACAGATGGCACGTGCACTGAGAAGGCTGCCATAAGGAAAAGGCTAAGAACTGGTGTAGCATTCAAAGGGAGTTAAGTGGCTATGGAGGGCATGGGGTAGAAGGGATCATCCTGCTTGATAGTGGCCTTAAAATAGGAAGTGATTTTTGTACATAACTTTTTACAATAACCTGTCAAGTGCCAGGTATTGAACTGTGTAGTTGATGTGCATTTTCTGAGATTTGTAGCAATCCTTTGAAGTGGTATTCTAATTTACACATCCCAGAACAGGCTCTAGAAGGTTACTTGCCCAAGGTTGCCCACCTAGCTAGGGATTCACTGTGTGCTAGTAAATACCATGCTTTTTGTCTTCTATAATACCTCCTCCCACCACCAAGATCCAAAAAACTATAGGAAATAAGTTAGCTTGCTTACATAAGTAGTGTTTTAGCTTTCAGATTCTTGCATTTTGGTTTTGTATCTCTTTCACTGTGTATATATTCTTTGTTATGAACGGGTTGCCTAGAAACACTATTCCCTTGGAAAAATTTAGTACCTAGGGGAGTAAAGAAGCAGAGTTATGATATTCTCTTATTTTGGTGCATTTCAATTTTTCTAGCATTCTAGCTCATATACCCAGAGATTATCTTTCATTACCTGTAATGGATAGAGCACAGGTATAGTAGGAATCTCCAAAGCTTTCTAACGTGACAATTTAGCTACCTACATAATAGTGGTTTCTGTTACAAGGCAAGATTTCATCCATTTATTCACCTGCAGTACTGTGAGTCCAGGCAAATTACTTTATCATGATTGCATCTTTGCCTCCTCATCAAAAGTGGGTGATTATTAACTGGCTTGTAATGAATAATTGAAATAATATGCAGAGTGCCTGGTATTGTTTGGTGTATTGTCCAAGCTTAATGAATTGGAGATATTTGTCACGGTGATCTGTTACAAAGTACTGTGCTAGGCTCATGAAATGAAAAATTGATGACAGCTCTTAAAGAATTTGCAAAGTTTAATCACAGACAAGAAACAGGTAAAGGAGTGCAAAAACTTTAGAGACTTATTGTGGAATGTTGTCACTAGGGAGAATGAGTGATTTGGTTTACCTTTGGTGGGAAAGATTTCAAAGGGAAGTTGTCTTCAGTTTAGTTTAGCATACACAAGTCTTTGGTATTTAAACTTTAGATAGAGAAGAAAGTAGTCTTTTTTGTTATTTGCCTTATTCAGGTTTAAAGAACTAATTTGGCTCAGGGTCTTAAGCCTTTAACTTTGGGATTGCTATATTACAAACTCAGGTCACCTGGTAGTAGAGAAAGCCCTGGGCATGTAATTAGAAAACCTGAGAATTGTAGTCCTGACTTTGCTTTTTGTCAGTTGTGTAGTCTTGGGAATATTTAGGTACCATATGTACTCCCCGGGATGGTAGGCTACCCTCATGCACTTGTCATAGCCTTTGCTGTGCTGTCTCAGGTCACTTCTACCGCATGCAGCTTGGTGGTAAGCACAAGACTTCATGCACAGATTTAGCAGGTATTTTTCCAGCTTTCTCTTCTAATTCAGGAGCATCTTTTCATCATTTTCTGACTAGAAAAGTTGGGATTTTAAACCTCTCTGTGCTGTCATATATTTCTTGTAGTGGGATCCACTTTCTGGACAAAATAGTAAGAGGGGAAAAAAAAATTCTCACCATGTTCTTCACGTCTTATTCCTAGTTCTGGTAGGGAGATGAGCTTTCTTTTAGGGTTTAGGTAGCCTTTATTTATTTATTTTTAAAGATTGATTTATGCATACAAGAGCTGGGGTACAGGCCGGAGATGCTGGCCTGATAGACTGAGTGCAATACACTGCTGAGGGGAGCAGCGGGCAAGACGAGAGGACTGTTGCACCTTGTGGGTTGCTCCCTGGTCAGCCAGGGATCGAACTCGTGCTGCAGAGGCTTCGGATTGCTTTATATGCAGTGCTTAACCCCTTGCGCCACCAGGGAGGCCCCCTTAGGTGGCCTTGAAAATGCTCGGTGGTCACCAGCCACAGGTGTGCAGCTTCAGAACTGGCTCTTGCCTTAAGGCAGCACAGAAGAGTAAAAACCAGGTATGGGCCTCCCCGGTGGCGCAGTGGGTTGAGTGCAACACTGTGAAGCTGTCTGCAGCCTCTGCAGCGTGGATTCAATTCCCAGCCAGCCAGGGAGATACCCACATGGCGAGGCAGACCTCTCCTGTCGCGCCTGCTGCTTCCCTCAGCAGTGCTTTCGGTCCGTCTGCCTGTTCTGCCCCCCACTCTGTCTGTGGTGAATCCTCTCACCCTCCCTTGACTCTGGTCTGTACCCTAGCTCTTATATAAATAAAAATCTGAAAAAAAAAAAAAAAAAAAAAAAAAAAAACCCAGGTATTTTTCCCTATTCTCTCACCATCTCTTTTCCTGATCCTCTAACGAGAAATACTGTCTCAAGCTTTTTCTGTCTGTACCTACTGTGTAGTTACAGGATTTGGGCTGTCCTCAAGTCTAAGCTGGGATATGTGGAAGAAAAAATAAAAACCAGGAAACTGCTGTTTTTTGAGTTTTGATTCCCCCCCCCCCTTTAATATGCTTGTTTCTATTTTTCAAACTCTTTGTATACTTGTGTATGTATTCAGCTCAGGATTTTCATTTGAAATCAGTAGATAAGATCGGGTGGAATGTGCTTTCTCCATCTTAACTGGAGCTCCTGTCTGTTAAATATAATGACCTGTAGTGATGGTTCAGGTTCTTAACTGCACATTAGAAATGTCAGGGGAGCTTTTTGCAAGTACAGTGTTTAGGCTATACCTCTATGTCAATTAAATCAGTCTTTTGAGGGGGTGGGATCCAAGTTTTTTTTTTTTTTTAAATAAAGATTTATTTATGCATACAGGCCAGAGATGTGAGGGGGGGATGAGAGGATTCACCAGAGACAGAGCGGGGAACAGAACAGGCAGACTGATTGAAATACACTGTTGAGGGGAGCAGTGGGCGAGACAGGAGAGGTCTTCTTCGTCATATGGGTTGCTCCCTGGCTGGCCGAGGCTCAAACTTGTGCTGTACAGGCTGCGGACTGCTTCATAATGCGGTGCTTAACACCTTGTGCCACCAGGGAGGCCCTCCAAACATCTATTTTTAAAAGTTCTCTAAGCCACCTATTCAAGGTGTGGCCTGAGAACACCTATTTAGGCATCACCTGGAAGCTCATTAAACATGTAGACTTTCAGGCCTACCCCTCACCAGAATCAAGAGATCGGTCCCCAGGTGATTCCTGTGGACAGTAAAGTTTGAGCAGCACTGGTTGATTCTAATGGGTAGTTAATATTGAGGAAAGACTGCCTTACAAGGTTTTGTAAAATCAAGTGACGTGTATATTAAAAGAAATTTAAATTGTAATGCGCTATGTAAGTATAAATTGTCACTAAGTATAAGTTGAGTTTGCCCTCTACCTACTTTCTCGGTTCCTGGTAAGTAAGTACCTTTGACTAGAACCACAGGTTTCCCCCTCAGGCTTCAAATCAAAAATTATCCTCAAAGCCAGTTGCATCCCAGCTCAATGTTGTGATTAGATTCATACCACATGAAATCTCCAATGGACAGTCATTCTCTCATTCCCTTGTTCAGAAGATACAGTGTTTTAATGTGAACCTCCAGGTTTTAAATCCTTCCTTTCTCTACTGTATACCTAAACTAAGAGCAACTCTGCTATCAAAGTCAAAAATTTTAGCCCCTGAAAATAGAGACCAAAAAACTTGCAAATATATGTTCAGGTATATATTTTTAAAGATTTATTTATTTATAGAAGAACTGGGGTACAGGTCAGAGGCGCTGGAAGGCGAGAGAATGCACTAGAGACAGAGCAGGGAACAGAACAGGCAGTCTGACTGAAATACACTGCTGAGGGGAGCAGCGGGCGAGACAGGAGAGGTCTGCTGCACTATGTGGGTTTCTCCCTGGCTGGCTGGGAATTGAACCCGTGCTGCAGAGGCTGCGGACAGCTTCACAGCACCGTGCTCAATCTGCTGCGCCACCGGGAGGCCCCAGCCATCTTTTTGAACAGGACTTTTCCACCAGTTGGGGGAATTTCCTAGGACTAGAGAAATTCCAGATTGCTGCCCTATTTTGTTGCTTTCCAAGTAGAAAATTAGGATTCAGGGTAAAGGTGTTTATATTAATGTTTCTAAGTTATTTGTAGTCAGGAAAATTGAATTTTCCTGCATGCCTCTTTTATGAAAGGGTAAGGGGTTAAGGAGAAAATAAACTGAGATTTGTAAGTTACCGAACTAGTCCTGATAGAGAATAAAATACTTTTGCAACCATCTTGTTTTCTACCACCACATCACTTACCTGAGCCGGTGTTACCGTTTGTTTAATGTTAGCTAATAAGTGAGGTCGTTTTATTCCAAGGGCCAATGTTTTGTCACATACGAAGCACCTGGAATGCTTATAGTTTCCTGTCTCCGTTTTGATTGTGGTGATTAGGGACCCATGCATTATTGGGTCTCCAGTGATTCTGATTAGCCAAAATTGGGAACCAAGTTCGCCATTTTTGAAATCCTCAGAGGCTAGATGTGTTTTTCTAATTATTTAAAGATAACACAGTCTATGTCTTAAACTGTCAGTGGGGACTAGGACAGCATTCTATAACCAAATAATATTTCAGTAGTGTAGCATATTGATGTTTAGTCTCTCTAGGATGAGGATGAAGAGTGTAAATAGCCTCATGCAAGTTCAAATTTTGGTGCTAAATTTATGGGGAAACTTCTGGTTTGAAGAAATTTGGAGGACTTTGAAACTATGAATAAGAGATACAGGCCTGTAGTGGATGAGATGATAAGTATTCAGACTCTTCAAGCAGGAATATGCCCTGACTTCATCCTACTTAAAAAAATTATCATGGACTTTGGAGTTAGACCATTTGTGTTTGAGCCGAGTTTTACCACTTAACAATTATATGACTTTGGAAAGTGTTTAACTTCTGTACCTTGATTTCCTCATCTGTAAAGTGGGGATTATAATAGAAGTTTAATGGATTGCTATGAAAATTGAGTTAATGAAGTGTTTAGTCATGCAATATATGTGATTAAAAATCAAAGTCTGTACTTCAGGAAACATCTACACTTTGTTTTTAGGAAGAATTTTCATTGTACTTTTAAACTTTTGGTTAGAACTCCTTAAAAAGACAGTAAAATCTGGTTGTCGTTCAGGTAACTCTCACATAGTAAAGAATAACATGGTCAAAAGGCAACAGAAAGAAAAAAGATGATTTAGGGGCTTAACCCATCAGTGAATCCCGTTATTCTTGGTTTGCTTATTTGATAGCGTGTAACTTGACCATCTTTTATTTATGATATTTCTCAATATTCAGATTTCTTTTAGACGTTTTGAAGATGAATCTGCTTAGGCTCAGAGGTTCTGACTGTCCAAAATCATCAGGTCTTAGAGAGTTGGGACTAAAACTTGAGAGTTCTGACTCCCTGAATGATAGCCTTTTTTTTTTTTTTTTAAAGATTTATTTATGCATACAAGAATTGGGATACAGGCCAGAGTGTGGAGGGTGAGAGGATTCACCAGAGACAGAGTGGGGAACAGAACAGGCAGTGAAATACACTGCTGAGGGGAGCAGCGGGTAACTGGAGAGGTCTGCTGTGCTGTGTGGGTAGCTCCCCGGCAGGAAATCGAACTCGTGCTGCAGTGGTTACAGATAGCTTCATAGGTTGTGTCTTAACCCCTTGCGCCACCAGGGAGGCCCTGATAGCCTTTCTTCCCACAAATTAGAGGATGGTTGCTCTTCCTCTAACATACTTAACCGTTGTCCTGAAGGTCTCACATTCCAGTATTGAAAGTGCATGGGAAGAACATTCAAATATTTTTTGTGCTTTGCATTTGTTTGCAGTTTGGAAGTAAGCATTTTTTTAGCCTCAAGCTCTGTTACAGGTAGTTTTCTTTTCATTCCTGTCAATAGATTTTCGTAACCTTGTATTGGTAGACTGAAACAATATATAGCTGCTTTCAGGACCACAAAGCAATAGAGTATCATTTTGGGCCAAATTTTGAACACAGAACTTGTAAAGATAAAGTTGGAATTAAGGATGCTTAATTTTGAAAGTGACTTTAGCGTATAGTGGCTGCATTTTTTAGAAGCATTGTGTTAGGTACTGTGAGGTGACAGTACAAACAAAATCATTTCCCTCTTGTAGCTTACATTCAAGAGCTTTAATTGTAATAAACAGAACAGGTCGAGAGTTCAGCTTCTGGAGAACTATTGACGAAGTTTTCATAAATGTGGCATTAAATATAAGCCTTCAATGCTGGTAGGATCTGTGCAATCATAGTAATTAAGCAGTTAGGGGGCGTAAGTATAAATGAAGACAAAGAAGCTCTTAGAAAGTGAAGGGTTTGTTTGAGCATTATTGTATAGCATGGACTTGATACAGTTTAAAATTTGGAAGGGAAAATAGTGATGAATACAAAAATAAGGTTGACGACCTTGAGATAAGGAGGAGTGGTAATGAACTTTATTTACTAAGCAATGGAAAACCATTTAAGAGCTGAGTTGACACACAACTCCCTGGCAGGCAACATGGTATATCTGACATATGATTTTTTTTTTTTAAAGATTTATTTATTTACTTATACAAGCACAGGTCACAGTCAGAAGCGCAGGAGGGTGAGAGAATCCCCCAGAGCCAGAGCGGGGAACAGAACAGGCAGACTGACGAAGTACACTGCTGAGGGGAGCAACGAGCGCAGCAGGAGAGGTCTGCGCGCCATGTGGGACCCTTGCTGGTGGCCGGGGATTGAACCGGTGCTTCAGAGGCTGCGGGCAGCTTCGCAGCCCAGTGCTCAACCGCTGCACCACCGGGGAGGCCCTGACATGTGATTATTAATAAACTTAGTTATTAGAATGATAGATCTACACTGTTCTGTAAGAGCCTTTGGAAATTTTTGGGAAAGGTCTAAACTAAAAGTAGTTTACTAGTTAGTGCTGGAACTTGGCTACAGTATTACTGTACTATTAATGACAATTCTGTCAGGAAACTGTCTTCAAAAATGATAAATACTAGGGTCTCCCCTGTGGCGCAGCGGTTGAGCGCTGGGTTGCGAAGCTGCCCGCAGCCTCTGCAGCGCCGGTTCCATCCCTGGCTGCACCCTGGCCACCGGAGGAGGGTCCCACATGGCGCGCATTCCTCTCCTGCCGCCCTCTGCTCCCCTCAGCAGTGTGCTTCGGTCCTTCTGCCTGCTCTGCTCCCCGCTCTGGCTCTGGTGAATTCTCTCACCCTCCTGCGCTTCTGACTGTACCCACTGTTTGTATAAATAAATAAATAAAAATCTTTTAAAAAAAAATGATAAATACTAATCATGTTCCCAACACTGGGTGTTTTTTTGTTTGTTTGTTTTGCTTTTTCCCTTCAGGATTTAAATCAAAGGGACTAGATGCTAACGCCCATCTTTTTTACAGGTGTCAGTAAAATGGCTTTTCGTCATTTAATTGAGTTCACATATACAGCAAAACTAATGATACAAGGAGAAGAAGAGGCCAATGATGTGTGGAAAGCAGCAGAGTTTCTACAAATGCTTGAAGCCATCAAAGCCCTTGAAGTCAGGTAATTATTTCTCTGAGGAGGCACAGATGGTTGTATTCAATCATGTTCAGTTAGTCAGGGATATAATGAACTGACATTTTGAAATTAATATGTAAGGATCTATCATATTCTTCTGATACAGATTGTTCTTTCCCTCACACTTGATTTCTTGTACTTATGTGAAATAAAAGTAGTATGTTTTGAATCCAATAAAATAAGGATGACTAGGCAGCTTTTAAGGAGTTCTCTAGGTCCCTGTAAATTGTTTTGTTGGATTCAAGTTGTCAGTTATTTGTGCCAGGCCTTACACTAAAAAGGTTTGGCTTACAGAGATTAACACAGTAAAAGTAAGAAAAGTAAAAGTAAGAAAATTGATGAAGATAAATAAGCCAGGTGGGCCTATTCAATATAATCAGCAAAGTTAGAAACACAGTGGCCAAAATGCATGCTGCTTAATTCCTGCCAGATGGCTCAGTCTAGCTCTTGAGTTCCGAAGTACTTTAGAAAGAAAAAATACACATTATTTATGGTTATGAGAACAAATTAATTGGTTAGGAGTCATTACTCATATTAAAACAAAAAAATTTCTCATAGGAAATACTAAGAAAACATTAGAGGAAATAATGAGTAAAGACTTTAACGTGCGTCCATAATGAATAGTGGTAATGTAATTTAGTGACTAAAAAGGAGATCTGGAGTCAGGCAGCCTCGATGTTTCCTACCTCTTACTGCTGGGTAACCTTAGCAAATTTACTCACCCTCCTGCCAGCAACGCAAGTTTTCTTATCTGCCAAATGGAATAGTAATGGTACTGTCCACATAGGATTACTTGCGAGGATTAAATTAGTGTATGTAAGGTGTGTGGCACATTGTACTCCAAGTATGATTGGCTGTTACCACCTCGTTTTGTTTCTTAGGACCCTTAATATAGGTGGTTAGCATAACACTAAAGTGCAGTTTGGTGAAATCAGCTTCACATGAGGCAGAAAGCTGTAGATAAACTCACAGATGTAGTTTATCAAAAGATCTTTTAGAAGAACTAAGAAATGAACTATATATGTCCAAACATGCTATTTTACCTAGTGATCTTTTAATTAGTTTGAGTATTAAACTTTTCTGACAGGAGCTTGGTGCACATATATTCTGATACAGTGGCCAGCAGTGTAGGTGTGCATGAATGGATGCATCCTGGCTCAAATCAAATTGATATTCTCCTGCAGAGAACTGAGACATGGCTGGCAAAATAGAGCTATGTTGAGAATATGTACCTGAGTAGATCATCTCTTAATGGAAGTGAACCTACAGATATATATATATGGATGGAGAAATATCAGATATGTGGTTAAATTCTCTGTGCAGATCTTCTGAAAAAATGTTCTGTGTGGGGGCCTCCCCTGGTGGCGCAGTGGTTGAGCGCTGGGCTGGGAGGCTGCCCGTGGCCTCTGCAGTGCCGGTTCATTCCCTGGCTGCCGACAAGGGTCCCACAAAAAAAAAAAAAGAAAAGAAAAATGTTCTGTGTGGTTCCTTTCTGCTGATGGTATTGAGTAGTGGCTCACTATGGGGAAAGCCCTTGGTATAAGACAGTGGAATGTTGTCTATGACGGTGCACTAGGTTGAATTTTGGATTTTGCTGCATTTAGTTGAGTTGATGTGTACAGTCATTGAGAGACGAAGATAAGAATAACTGGATAGACCTGTTTTCCCAGAACTATTTAGGTCTTTATAGTTATAAGGACCACCAGTGCTTTTTGATATAAATATAATAGCTTGTTGATTTTTTTTTTTTTCTTGAACCAGTCAAGAATTAGTTTACAATTTAGACATGCAGGATACTGTGTAGAGTTCTTGAGCACAGGAAATTTCCAGTATTATGTATTGGTTGGTTGTAATACAGTGTCTGGACTTCCATGAGGACAGTTTCTATTGGCTTTTTCCCCTGTGTATGAGCTATGCTTTACTGTTCATCTATGTCTTGTAAATTTTTTTTTGTTAGAAATTAGACATTATAGGGCCTCCCCGGTGGCGCAGCGGTTGAGCGCTGGGTTGCGAAGCTGCCCGCGGCCTCTGCGGCGCCGGTTCGATCCTCGGCTGCTCCCCGGCCACCAGAGGAGGGTCCCACATGGCGTGCAGACCTCTCCTGCCGCCCGCTGCTCCCCTCAGCAGTGTACTTCGGTCCTTCTGCCTGCTCTGCTCCCGGCTCTGGCTCTGGTGAATTCTCTCACCCTCCCGCGCTTCTGACTGTACCCAGTGCATGTATAAACAAAACAAACAAACAAACCAGCAAACAAATAAATAAAGCATGCCTCTATAAAAAAAAAAAAAAAAAAAAAAAAAAATTAGACATTATAAATAATATAGTGTGTCAAATTGATATTAGATACCCTCTCCCCCCCTTTTTGTTGAGTGATTTATCTGGATTAACTCCGTAAAGTCTGTGTTCTTTGTGTGTAGCCATTGAAATCTCTTGGTCAGCTATTGATTAGATATATCCTTAAACCAGTCAGTCTCCAAGCCTTTGTTGAAAAGCTCTGTTTTGGGGCACACCATCAATATTCCAGCAAGTGGTTTATGATTTTATCTTTATTTCCTGTATGCATGGAACAGAGGTGAGAGTTTAAGGCTTTGTCACATCTTTCCTAAATAGGCGCACAGACTTGCAGTTGCATACCTGGAGTATATCAGAGTTTTCCCAACTCCTCTGTGGACATCTTAGTCTTCCAGTTATTCCTCTGAGTTTTTTGGGCAGCTTTTTAAGTATTGGCATCAGCTGTTAATTCTGCAGTGATAAACAGGTGCAGCTAATTGTTTTTGACAAATGCTTGTGGTTAGGGCTGTTTGCAGAGTAAGCTGACTCAGGTCATATCTCCAAATATTTTTATCCTCTTCTCCCTTTTTAATTGAATAAGTATAAAGTGCCTAAAACAGTGTCTGCCGCATAATAATACCCTATTCTCAACCTGGCATACCTTATACCTGTTAGTTCATTGGTAGAATCTTTATCTTTATGGTTGCAGTGGAGAGCCAGTCACCAGTTCTCTGAAGCCTGACCTACCTCCTCAAGCAGGTTGACTTAGGTACTTCTCTAAGTATTTTTATTCTTTCACATTCTCCTTTAGAGCAATAGTATTGTTCCACATCTCCCTAATGTAGTACAGCCTTTTTGATGCAGGGATTATGTGCTTTTTAGCTTTAGGAGATACTTAGGTGGATTTGAAAAGCTACCACTTAAAAGTGTCTCTCCTTCCCTCACCAGCCTCTAAAATATGTTAACTTGCCCTTTTGGTCTGAATCCAGACTTGCTTATCCTACTCCACAAGAGCCTGGAAACAACACTTTTTGTTGCTTTTTAATTATTCCTGTTTCAGGCTGGGCTCCGGGTTCACCAAATCATACCCGTAATTAAAACAAGCATAAGAAAGCTAGTCAAGGGCCTCCCCGGTGGGGCAGCGGTTGAGCGCTGGGTTGAGAAGCTGCCCGCAGCCTCTGCAGCGCCAGTTCGATCCCTGGCTGCTCCCCGGCCACCGGAGGAGGGTCCCACATGGCGCGCAGACCTTTCCTGCTGCCCGCTGCTTCCCTCAGCAGTGTACTTCGGTCCTTCTGCCTGCTCTGCTCCCCGCTCTGGCTCTGGTGAATTCTCTCACCCTCCCGCACTTCTGACTACACCCAGTGCTTGTATAAATAAATAAATAAATCTCTAAAAAAAAAAAAAAAAAGAAAGCTAGTCAAGAATTAGTTTACAATTTACCGTAGTATTTAGGTTTTTTTTTTTTTTATATTTGCATAGAACTGGGGTGTAGGCCAGAGATCCAGGGGGGTGAAAGTATTCACCAGAGACGGAGTGGGGAGCAGATCAGGCGGATTTATTGAAATACACTGCTAAGGGGAACAGCAGAGGTCTGCACCATATGTGGGTTAGCTCCCTGGCCAGGGATGGAACTCAGGCTGTAGCAGTAATAGCGCTGAGATTTGACCCCTAAGCCACCAGGGAGGCCCAATTGCTTATGTTTAAAAAGAACAAAAAGAGGGCCTCCCCAGTGGCCCAGCGGGTTGAGCACAGCACTGTGACGCTGTCCGCAGCCTCTGCAGCACGGGTTCGATTCCTGGCCAGGCAAGGAGATTCCCACATGGCGCGGCAGACCTCTCTTGTCGCACCCGCTGCTCCCCTCAGCAGTGCTTTCAGTGTGTCTGCCTGTTCTGCTCCCCACTCTGTCTCTGATGAATCCTCTTACCCTCCCACGCCTCTGGCCTATACCCCAGCTATTATAGAAATAAAAAACAAATCTTTAAAGGAAAAAAAGAACAAAAAGAACCATACTTCTTCATTAAAAGAATTAATATATTAACATCTTTCACATTGGCATGCCTCTTTAACGACGTAATATTCATGACTTAGTTTCAGTTAAGTTGTTGGAGTTAATTTGCATTATTGATACCTGGCAAGCTGAAGTTGTCATTTAAAATGTCTTCAGAGTGACCAGACTGCATAAGTTGATATAAAAGCAAAAAGCTATTGTGAAATTGGAGCATTCCAAAGTGGAACATTAATTTCATGTTAGTAGTGCAAAATATTGTTATCAGAAGAATAACCACAATTCTCTGTTAGCAGTAATTAAGGGCTCTTTAGGACCTCAAAAAGAAGATACGTGATTTAATAAAATAATTTCAGAATAAAAATTAATTTAGTTGTGATTAAATGAATTAGTTAAGGCACCCTGTACTGAGAAGACTGTATGACTGTTTTGCAGATGCAGGATTTGAATAAGGTGTACTTCTCACATTTGTAGTATGCAAGTATTTTTGGAATACAGTATAAACTTTCTGAATGACACTGAAAAAAAAATACTAGGACCTTATTTTGCTTTATTTGGAATTGAATCGTTTATATAAAACTGTATGAGAAAGTTCCTGCTATTTTTAAGGAAGTAGCAGTTGCCTTTCATATTTTTCCTCCTCAGCCTATTGAGGTGCCCATCAGTCAGGGCCACCGGCTGACATTGCCTCCAATGTGACCTCCCCCTTCC